TTGTAATCCCCAAATATTATTGGCTCGCTCTTACTCCCCCACTCACTCATGCACTTTGTGTGTTGGGAGTGTCTCTTCTCTACCCTTTGGGGCAATGCTTCTTGGGGAGACGGGGATTTCATAACGTGGCTAATAAGTTTGTTTCAAGTCTTGCTTGGAAGATTGGAAATGAAGAAAAGGTAAAGTATGCGAGTATGAAGTGGGTCAATGGGAAAGTGCCCATTCTTAATTCTAGCAACACTTTGAGGGGGATAGGGATAGGGAAGGTCAATGATCTATTGCTACACTCTGCAGGGATGGCTTGGAATGCAGCTTTGGTAAGGGAGAGATTTGAGTGGGATTCAGCGTAACAAATTCTTTCCATGGAACTTCCTTCAACGGAGGTCTTTTTGTATTGGTATCATCATAGGTCCGGAGTTTACAGTGAAAATTGGTTATGCCTTCTTATGCCAAGAAGGTAGGGGGAACCACCTTAGTACAAGGACGGATGAGTTTTTTAAACTCATTTGGAAGCTTAAGATTCCTCCGAAATGGAGTCTTTTTTATGGATTATTTTGAATGGTTTGGCGGTAAAGGCAAATCTACAACATAGAGGAGTGCCGGTAGACGCTAACTGTGATCTTTGTGGGGATTCTGAAGAGGATTCTCAACATCTTTTTCGTTTTTGCTTGTTGGCTAGGTATGCGTGGCTTAATTGTTCCCTGCATATTAGCTCAGAAATTGATAGATCTACTCCTTTGGGACAATGGATCCAAAGCTATATCCAGCTTTACTATAGCAAGGATGGTACTCATGTGAGCGAATGCTTACTTTTATGAGTGTGTTATGGAGCTTGTGGTAGCTAGAAATGGTAGGGTCTTCAGGAATGAAACGGACCATATGGATGCTCTTAAAAGACACTTAGAAAACACAGCACAGGATCTAAGTGTTTTCCAAAAACCTGATCTATGATGGGTGGGTGCGATAAGTGAAGGGCCTCCACCTTGTTTTCTTAGAGCTACTTTGGGGGTTAATTCCACCCAAAATAATAGGGATCTCGGACTTGAGCAAGAGATTATAATATTGTGCGATGGTTCGTGGCATAAACAGATAGGGAACGATGGGTTTTGGGTGGGCTTTCTCGATTAAAAGAGAGGTTTTTGAAGATGCAGGGGGTGGTTTTTGCAGGACAAGCTCGGCATTACACACGGAACTACTAGCTTGCCTAGGGTGTATTAGGTGGGCGAAGGACAAAGGCTTTCGTCGCATATTAGTTTATAAAGATTCAACAGAAATGGTTGGCATCCTAAGGAACTCTAAACGGGGACAAATGGCGAACTACTGGATTGTTCAAGAAATCTATAGGGTAGGAGGTTCTCTAGACAACTGTGTTGTGTGGAAGGTCTGCAGGGATCAAGTTCGGAGAGCACATGATAAAAAAAAAAAAAATAAATAAATAAATAAATAAATAAAAAAGGAAGGAAAAAGAAAAAGGCAAAGAAATTCCTCATATTTTTTCATTGCATAGATTTACAGCCATACAAACACAGATTGTGGAAACAATTTCTCAATAATTAATTGTTTACATCATTATATACATACGTACATGCATACATACATCGGCAAACAATTGATCATGTGAACTCTTACGTTTCATATGTGTGTAAAGTTCCATCAGAGTGCCACAGGAGTTTACAACCGCCTGAAAACCAAAAAGAAGTATGTAAATACAGCTATCTCATCTAAGGCAATAAAACTGCAAGTCTGCAACTTTACTAGCTATTTTTTTTTTTTTTTTTTTTTTTGAAAGAACTTTACTAGCTACTTAATCAAGTTATTCATAATGTTTCAAAGGTCAGTAATGTTCAAAGACACCCTATAAGTAAGGCTGAAAAATAGCCATGGCGAATAATGTACTGATGAATGACGATCTACATAAACTTCTCTCAATATGTTCATGCACGTATAGTTGGCAATAATGCAAACCATAATGAAGCACTTAAACATTCAGATATATAACTCAACGTTAGCTGCCTACAGTGATCATCATAAAATCACCAAAGAGGAATTGGAGTGAAATACATTCGAGTACAGGCTAATATTCTTAATAATAGTAAAACGTGATTAATAGTAGTTAATCAACTGGCAATTTACTGTTCAGGAAAGGGGGAAGTTGATGGTAGAACAATGGAAAATTCGACTTAATAACTAGATATAAGGTGAAAGGCTCACCATTTTGGAAGTAAAAAATCCCAAGCATGGAAAAATGCTGAGCTTGTAGTATGGCATTTTGCCATCACTCATTTGAGTTATCATTTCTGGTGCCCCTACCTGAATGACTGGATTGGGAGACATGATCAGATCCTTTATTCACTCTGCTATCAAGTCTTTCCATTAAGCGAGAAAGACCAGCAATCCCAGAATTCACCTCCCTCCGAACCTCAGAACCAAGTTCAGCCACGGAATTTCTCCGAGCAATTAGCCTCTCCTTCTTCAAGCCTCTAGTATTCCTTGAAATAGATTCCTTGGATCTTTATAATAACAAAGAGTTAGCTAAAAGAAGCTGAACAAAATCTCAGTAGCCCTATTCAGTTTCTTAAAGAACTGCAAAACATGTGGCTTAGTGTGAGATTGTACCTCATTGACCAGGAATTAAAGCGAGTTCTTAAAGATTCTGACAATGACTGCAGATCTGATGGTTCTTCTGTGTACTGACTTCCCAAGGAAGGTTGACTAGCAAAGCTTCTAGACAAGAACCAAATATTACAGAAATCACACACAGTAGCTCAGCCAATACAAGTAAAATATGTCTATATATAGTCAGAAAATCCTTATACAGTAAGAAAATCTCCTTCAGAAAGAAAAAAAGAGCTCGAATGTTCTGTAAGATTCTGAAAAAAACAAACTCATGTTAGTGATGAAGAAAAAAAACTCTAAAGTATAAGAAAGGCAACACATTGTTTTTGGGATTTTTTTTTTTTTTCCTTTTAATCTCTATATGTTCACATCTTTCATTGCAATTATATACAATTCTCACCAATAATTTATTCAAATAAGTTTGGAAGTTTCTTGCATCTAGCTAGTTTAATGGTCTAGTTTGTTTCCTACTGTTGTTTCAAGGATGACATCTAAGGAACAAAGATCAGTTAAAGGGCCAAAAGGTACTTGGATACATACTGAGTTCTGATAGTACTCTTTGTCGATTTGCTGGTTCAACATTAGAGCGAATCTTATAAGAAAAATCCTCGTCGGACAGTGATGTAGAGAGTGGAACTGGCACTGAAGCATCTGGACTACTTCGCCTCAGTACTGACGCACTTCCAAGAGACACTGAAGTCACGTGACCTCCACCACCAACAAGATTTATAGCAGTCAAAACAGAAGCATCATGAGGACCATTGGGCGTTGAGAAAACAAAGAATGGTTGGTGTCGCTGTGATGATGACCTGTTCCTCTGGCCTTCCCTCCGGAAAACATATTGTCCACTTCTCATGGCAGCTGCAGCAGCCAAGTGCTGATATATATGCTCTTCAAGATCAACTTCACCAGCATCGGTAGGTGACTGCAGTGTTCAGGAATATTGCCGTGATGTAAGACACAATGACATCAAGTGCATTTTTATGAGAAAAGATGAAATGAAGAAAGAAACATGGGAAGGCTGATAGAAAACAAACATGCAGTTCAAGATTCTCTAGGCTGGGATGATAGACTTCTGTCTGAGTTCGCGATCTATTAGCTCTAAGACTCCTCTCTTGCTCCATGGATTCCAGCAACTGTTGACTGTGACAAGATGCAGAAATGGTGTCCATTAATAAATCAAAGTTCAAATAAATGAATGCACAAATGAAAATTGAATTTCCAAAAAATCCAGAGCTGGAAACCTTGCTCTATCTTTCAGGCTGATAGGTTGCCAGCACATTGGGCAATTTGAGCTTCTATGGCACTTTTAGAACACAAAATTATGAAGGGATGTCAGCAACAAAAAGGTAAATTCTTGATCAATATAAGAGAGTAGTATTATAAGTTATACATTTAAGGCTTTAAATTTGTTATATTATTTTAAATACTAAAACTACAATAGTACATACACAAGGAAACCAAAAAAAAAAAAAAAAAAAGATCCAAACTAGATTGGACATCATTATAAGAATCTACAATTGTAATTATTAATGCGTTTATTCTTAAGAAGACAACATTTATAAGAAAACGGCTGCATAAGTAAACCTTTGATTTAATAGTTCTTCATCTTATGGAGCTTCCCACAAATATGTTAAACATTATGCTAATCTTTAAAGACATTTATCATATAGATTTTAAAATAGATACAAATAAGAAATGAAAGGTGACCAATCTGACCATGATAAAGGGGAGAATGGTTATAAATTGTTGCCACATCCACTGAATTACAAAACGATAGAAAACCATGTGTTTAGATATGACCCACATGTGACTGTGAGTTCCAAATTAAAGAGTAAGAGAGAGGATAATTAACTTATAAGCCTAGTGAGTCACTCCACCTATTACCAATTGGCTTTAGGATGGAACCCTTTGTATGCGATAAGTTCCCTTTCTACAACAAATCCTTAAGGAAAACTAGTGTCTTTAATTACGCCTTGAAATCATTGAAGATTGACTAAGCACAAACTTCAAATGCACATATCTCTCTATTAGAAATATTTTTATGCAGTGATTAATGTAGTAGATGAAATCTCGTCACAATAACTTTCCAACGGCTGGTCATAAGCCCATTTTAGTAAGAAATGAGAGAGTTATGGTTGTTTTACAAAAAAATTGTCTAAAGCTGTAACTTTCTGCCCAACTGTTCAGAAAGATGTATGGAAGTTTGGCCAAACTTTTTCCCGTTTCCAATTTTTGCATTAATTCCCAATTTTGTTTCAGGGTTTGCTCACATGACAGCTACAAGGGTTATTCCTTGGGGAATAATTTAGAATTTCCTTGTCATCCACTCACCTGTTCCTTTGTTTTTATTTTTATCCAAATACAACAAAGTGGCTCTCCCCAAAGTTGAAAGTTGGTATTCACATAGAGATACTAGTATACAAAAATATGTACTTGGTTAAAATATAAAAGTGAAAATGTCTAGTTTGATACCATTCAAGGATGCAATGAAGGTGAAACTCATGCTTGCATCCAGTTACCTGAAAACATTGAAAAAAATGGGTGATAAGAAAGAAGAATTTGTAATCATATGTTCTAAAAAGTTGTTCTAAATTATGATGACATGTTCTAAATTTGTGATCATATGTTCTAAATTTTTACTCACATGTTCTAAATTTTAGATCAGTTCTCATATAAGTATGGGTTCTCACATATGAACCTATTCTCACCGGATCCCTTAAGCATTTTCATTATTTAATACCTACCAATGACAGATAAGAATCTCCATTCCAGAAAGAAAAAAGGGGGAAAAAACACTCCCAAATCAAACTACAAAGAGAATCACTGGGTGGTCCATGCAAGTAGATTGAGTCAAAGAACAGTAAAGATAAAGTCTTTTCTACAATGTCAAGTTTAAAACTTTGAATCACTTTTTTGAGGGTGTTGACTGTATTTCATTCCATCAAGAATGAACGGTAACATCAGGATATTAAATAGGAAATGAGGGATTTTGCAATGTCCAACTCAAAGCATAATCATCCACCACCCCCCTCCCTTCCCCCAAAGCACATATAAGGAAGTGTGTGTATCCCTCTCCCTCAATCTATTTGTCTGACACTGACTATGAGAGAAGGGTGTAATCACATACAAGAATTTCTTAAAATAGGTGAACATATTGCTCTATCTTTCTGTTCATGAATAATATAAACACAACGGAAGACCAATTTTTTATCACTGGTACATTGAGCTATTGGAATATATGTTGCCTTCAACTCCCCATGCAGAGAGGAAGTGAGAAACCATAACTATTTGCACACGTGAGGAGCTTACAAAACAGATCAGTTTTTTAATTTGGTTCTTGCATAAGCAACCTAATGGTCTTCCATTACATACAAACTTCAAAGCATACCTCATTTTCACATCTATTTTTTAGAATTCGCCTCTAAAATCATATATTTACCACAGCATTACATAGACATACACAATTAACACAAGCAAAAAGACGGGCATTCTTAGAGGGATTTTTGCAGTTACTAAGGCTCCAATCCTGTTCTTTAGAGACCTATATTTGATTCTCTCAAGGCTGATGTCAGAGATTCAGTATGACAGTGATATTCCAAATTCATCCCCAAATGATCATATCAATGTAACAGAACTTAACTTAAGTTCACAGACTTCAAACCTTTTTTTACTCTTCTTCTTTCCACTTGGAACTTGGTGGATAGACAATCTTACAGCCAAAAAGATGTGGAATAGGATTGGTCTTTTTCCTCAGCATTTGTTCACATAAAGGAGTAGATGAGTTTGGACTCTCAGATTTACAGCAAAATATCTTTAGGTGTATGTAATGAACTGATTTTCTGGTTGTATTATAAAATTACTAAGGATTAATAAAGGTGAAAGCTTTATATTTTGACTGATAATGGAAAAAGGATTACAAAGGATAGGTTAATAGCTTAAGGCTATTAATCTCCAATAGTGAGTTTAGCTCACAACTCTCCAACAATGGATTTAGGCCATAACTCTCTCAAGTGTTCACACCAAATTTCTGCCTATCATTTTCTTTCCCCTCCCTCTCTATTAATACTAAGGACTATTAACCTAGTAAACTAATATTACTAGAATACCCATACAACCCCTCCTTAGGTTAGTCTATTACAGTGTATTGATAAATTTCAAATCCACTAAACAATTGGAATGTAAAAAAACAATTATCTGATAGTGCAATAAAAAATCATACACAAAATTAGAATACATATTTGACCATAATTGAGTAATACAGTTGGGTCACCTGACACTCGGTTTTCAGCTCTATGGAAAAACCTACATTTTTAGCTGTAAAGTTATTGGAGTGCTGAAAGCCCCATTCTCATGAAATAAGCATTGAGCAAGGTCAAGATGCAACCCAACAGAAATTTGCAAAGTAAATCTTTTCTAAGAAGCTCTTAAAGAAAGAGTGGGGAAGCCTGTAGTATTTTTAAGCTAGAAGAGCAATAAGCAATTTAAAACAAGGATGAAGGTGATAGGTGACAGCTGCAGAAGTAAAAAAAAAAAAAAGGACTACCCCAACCAAGTGATCAAATGTATCCTTTAACATTTATAAATAATATCCTATTAATTTAACCCCCTAATTTTTGTGCATAATCTTTATTGTATTTACGAACCTTTCACCCTTCCTAGCTAAAAAACTTAACTGCTTCATAAATCTTACAAAACAAGTATCCACTTGTACTGGTCTCTAAAAATTTTCTTAAATTAACATTCCTAGTTCAAACTTCCTCAGATACTTCTTCTCTACTTCAAATTGATCCTTCCAAAATAAATTGCAAAGATTTTTTGGCTCACAGAGATATATAGGCCATGGAGTTTCAGTAAAACAATCTCCTTTCAAGGCTTACTTACTTGGTACCATGAAAGATGATAATTGAAAAAGCCCCTGGTTTATATGTATCAAGGACAGGCAGAGCCAAAAGTTAGTCATCATTGTCAAATTTCGTGTGCTTTGGTTTGCTAAACAGACACAAGTTTATGTTAGGACGGGAACCAAAGAATTGTCCAAACTGTATAAGGCTATTCTACTATTTTAGCATAAAACCAAATCCCCTCAAAAAATTTCATCCCAATCAATGTCAAGATCTAACATTGAAGCTCAGATATCCATAGAAATAAATATCAACTCAATTAAAATATGATCTCACCGAGGGTAAGGGATAGCTCAGGTGGTTAGAGCTTCCCTCCGATCCCCCAAAGATCGATTCTCATCACTCTAATCGATACCATGCAAAGACACATAGCAAATAAAATAATTGCACAACAATACCGTTGAAGGATCACTATAACAGAAATCTTCAAGGCATATGCAGCAGGTATCATCACATGCTTCTTGCACCTCGCCTTCTACAAAGGTTCCAGTAGCCGTTGAATGATTGTTACTCTCCCTAGCAATTTCCATTTCTGAAAGCTCCTACAATAAGTCAAACAAAAAGCACATATAAGAATGGGAAGTAAATCTACAAAGTGTTACTGAAATGTTGTTAGTAGGTACTATAACCAACTCCCTTAAAAGTGGTTGGCATGGAAGCCAGTGGCAACAATGTGATTGACTTGGGACTTTAGAAACCCATGATGCTAAAAGAGATATATGGGCACACAATGAGCATGTTCCCTATTAAGTGAGGGGGAGTATTTAACACCTTAAGTGTTTCTCATCACAAACAGTCTTGTGAGCAGGCTGAGCACCTCATAAATTCTTCATGCTTTCTACCAAAATAATTAATCATAATTTCTGCCTAAGTGGACTACTTTTAGGGCCAAGCTGGAGACTTCGTAGTACCCTCTTAGAGGATTATGTTAAACTGCAGCCACATTTTTCAATAATACAAAATTACCTATGCCAATGAACTCAATAAACAGAAACTGCCAAATTGTAATATACCTATTCCTAAGAAAGCAATAAACAGAAACTGCCATATTGTAATATACCTATTCCTAAGAAAGTGTACGTGTCAAGTGGAACCCCCCTCCCCAATTTACAAGAATCATGTCAATTCTATTACTTAGGAACATTTACTACATTTGACAACAAAAGGTTCTTATAGTAAGGTTCGGGCTTGAGACCAACAAGAGGTATACTTTATATTTCATTATCTATCCAAACCACTTCTATGCTCTTTACTCCAAGTAAATATAAATAAGTTGGACCATGCGAGTATTTATTTTTTACTAATTTTATTCAATTCTTTTTATGTTACTCCATATGTGCTAATTTTCACTAGTTTCAAACAATAACTCAAAAAAACTAGTATAACATATGGAGTACAAGCCGATTATATTCTCCTTATGTCATTATCTCCCTACAACTAAGTCAAATCATGATATTCAAAGTTAAAACACAAGGCAAAACCAAGGCATGGCTACCCCATTCTAGTTGTGTATTTGGCAAGCCATTTTCAGAGCTCCTAACAGGCACAACAGCCTCGACTGCCATTTAAGACAAAGTTGTGGCTAATGGAATATATATACTAGCCTTGGCACCAATTTAACTTCATGTCTTTAACAATATGTTTCGAAACTTCAGGTTTTTGAATATGTAGTTTTGCTGACTTTTAGGTGTGAAATCATATCCAGGCAGTCTATCATCCACAAATTCACATTTCTCACTTTCGATCTCCCATATTCCAATGAATCCAAAAGAACATTTCTTTGAATAATATACTCCAAAATTAGATTTGTTTTTTCTATACATGCATAACAATCAATTAAATTTTTATCTGTATACTCATTCTGTTTCTCACTATACACACTTTTTTTTTTTCAATCGATTATCTTGCTATGCTCTTTTTCCTTTTCGGACGGTTCCTTATGACTATTTATGTTAGCCGACCCCAAATAATTTTGAGACTAAGGCTTTGTTATTATTGTATGCATAAAAATCAATTTCAACAAAATTCAAGATGAAAGTATATGCCACAAATTCATTAAAGGAGCTGCAAATCACACCCCCAATCACCCACAAAAGGGTTTTTATTTTCCTAAATTTTATACACAAGAACATATTCTGAATTTTCTGATAAATAACAAAACCCAATTACCAAATACATAATGTTCAAAGTCACCCATGAAATTTCTTAAGTGGAAAATGAATTATAACGAAAATTCCCAACTTCAGCAAACAATACATTAATCAAATTCAATTATGCAGAATGTGGTGGAGAAATTAATCAGGCCAAAATTTTCAACATTAACCATGCAATAGCCTTAAAAAGCAATGAAATTTGAGAAAAATGATGAACCTCAACTGGGGAATTCAGAAATGGCCGGGCAAAATTTGCCCATGAAAGGGAGAGGTGAAGGCAGGAGCTGCAAAATTCCCAGACAATACAATCTTTGGCGGTACATTGGGAATTTTTCGAAAGTTTAGTTTATAAAAAGCTGGAACCTTAATTTTAGGAAGTAACAGGGAATTTTGGGATTTGCCATTCCATGAGAGAGGTGAGAGCCAAAGAGAAAGAGAGAGAGAGAGAGATATGAAGTCAAATTTGCAAATTTTGTTTATGGTTTTTGAGAGGAAAAAAAACCCAATTACTCCCCCAATTCAAACTTGACGCGAGCGATCTGATGTTTTGATCATAGAAGTTGACGACGAATCCTTCTCATCCTTAGATGAGAATCCAAATCCCAGAAAATTGGGAAAAACTCCAAAAAAAAAAATCGGTACAGACTCTCACAAACGGAGAAAACAAAACAAAGCACAAAACAAATAAGCGATTTAAATCAAAGAAAAAGGGTCGGAAATAATCTAATCTCCGCCAAGAAAATTAAAACCCTAAAGAGAGAGGAGAGAGAAGAGGGAGGCGGCTTGATTCTGGTATAACTTTAAGTATAAAGTTATTCCGTACTTTGTCATTATATTTTGGTAAATAAAATGACACTTGATAAACATTTTTTTGTTTATTAGGAGAATAAACTTGCATTTTTCTCATACGTTTTGCTAAGGTGTGTTTATGGGCAGATTGAGCACACCAATAGGAATCTTAACATCATTATTTGGTTTCGTCAAAATGAGCTGTTTTTTTTTTTAGTAAAAGCTATAGGGTGTTTGGTAAAGAGAAGTTTGGGCAAATTAGATTAATAGGTTTTTTAATGTAATTTTTGCAATATTCATTAAGGGAAATAAAAGTGAAGATTCCATAACTCAACAAACGACCACCTAATTTCATTATGATATAAATATCAAATCTTCATCATTGACGTTATGCATTGCTCTACTTAAAGTTGCATTGTTGAGCACACTTGACTAATATTTGGTATAATTTGAGCCAATATTAGCCTTAATTATTTTAATTTTTATTCCTTTTTGGCAGTCACTCCGTACTTGTTATTATGTTAAACGAATATGAGAAGAGAACTTTTAGTTGCTTACTATATAGTTATATGATATTCTGATTTTTCAAAAACTAAAAACAAAAAACAAAGAATCATAAAAGTAGTTTGCGCTTTTTTGTTGTCAATTTTCAAAATTATGATGATTCTAATAAGATTGATTAATTTTATTCTTTATATAAAATATATCATATAACTTTGAAAAACAAAATACTACAATGATACTAAACACGCCCTAGTTCCTAGATTAGTTCCCAACTTCCCACTAATGGAGAAGAGAATATAGTTTTTTGTTTTTTTCCCCAATGTATGCCTTGGTGAAAGTCTTGGAACTATGTTTTGTCAATATGATATCCCTATATTTTGATGGGAAAAGTTGGAGGTGACAATTACAATCATGCACTCCTTGAAGGCAAAATAATGGACAGGTTGCATAGCATGGTTCCAGAAGTTGTCCATTACTCCAATGTATCAAAGTAGTGAAAGTGAGTTGCTTTGCCAATTCTTTCTTTCAATTTTCATACACATCCTAAAGCCATTACAGTAGTCACACCAAATAACATTCTCATTCGTTTCATAATGACCCAAACGTGTACAATGAACTCTAGTGTATACAAGACTTGAATGAATTTGCCAAATTTCATACAGAGTACTCCCTCCGTTCCTTATTTGTTACTCCATTGTAAAAATATGGGTCAAACTTTTAAAATTTTGACCATGAATTCTCGTTAATCTATACGTGATAATATATTAATGTGGGATCTTGTTAGAATCGTCTCATTGTATAGTTTATTAATATTTTAATAATTTTTACGTGTATAAAAATGGAGATATATACGTTTAAAAATGCATCTTGGAGACCGTGAAAAAGTCAAATAGGGCAAAAAATAAAGGATAGAGGGAGTAGTAATTATCAATGTTACTCTAGTCTACAGTGGATCCTCCCTTTTTCATGTCCAATATGATCTTATACTCTTAAATTCATGTTGAGTCTTTCAAAGTTGCAACATCAATTAACAAAAGATGGTGTATTGAAGCATTTCGTAGTCAGCTAGACATCATATTCTATGAATTGAAGCAGGTACTCGACTACTGCAACAGCCCACCATATAAACTCTTCTAGTCTAGTAAAAATGAGCTACAAGTAGATCCTAAAAGGCTAGAAATTGTTTACAAGTAGTTGTCCAATTGAATCCACACAATTATACAATGATACTATTCTATTTCTAATGAAATAGTTGGATTCTTTCAACAATTTTTTCAATTCCACTTTATCAAACTAAAATAGCACACTATCACAAGTTGTGTCAAAATTATAAAGTACCGTACAATTACAATCTATCAAGAATATGTAAAAAAATGAAACTAGAAAAACCAATCAATTCGATCTTCATCTTCTCTAAAGTTCCAGATCTATCACTAGTTATTTAAACTTTAAGGCTAACGGAAATATGAATAAAAAAATTAATTGAAAAGAATAGCAATTTATCAAATGTAATTAACTGTTGGAACTGATTTGATTAATATCAACATTGTTCAATTAAACAATTGAAACAGCAAATTAGCAAAAACCAGCAAAACAACCAATCTATTTCATACAAACCAAACCAACTACATCCAAATTCAATAAAATTAAAACCCTAAAAACAACAAATCTAACCACCAAAGCCATAAAGAGTACGGCCCTGTCTCTTAAGAGCATAAACAACATCCATAGCTGTAACCGTCTTACGGCGAGCATGCTCAGTGTAAGTGACAGCATCTCTAATAACATTCTCCAAGAATATCTTCAAAACACCGCGAGTTTCCTCATAAATAAGACCGCTTATCCTCTTAACCCCTCCTCGCCGAGCCAACCGGCGGATGGCGGGTTTTGTGATCCCTTGGATGTTATCCCTTAACACCTTCCTATGCCTCTTCGCTCCTCCCTTTCCTAACCCCTTGCCTCCCTTCCCTCTTCCTGACATTTTTTCTCCTTCACTTTCGAGATCCCAAATTCAGGTTTTTAAGGTTGAGTTGGATTTTTGTTGCTAATTGACTTGTTGTTGATTGTGGTGGTGAATTTGATTTTGCGGTTAGTGGGTTTATATAAGGATGAGAAAGCGGGAGGTTTGGAAATTTTGAGGATTTGATTTAGAGGGAAATTTGATTTTGGTTTTTAAATTAATTGGAGCCGTTGGATGTAATTTAATCTGACGATGAAGAAGGCCGATCCGTGTGAATCATCAATTAGTGTTTACGACCGTTGATGGGTTGAATCTAATGGTTGTCCTTGGCTTATTTCGCTAAAGTTTTTTCCTATGGATCTATTACTGGTTTTGCTGGGCCGTACTTCCAAGTTAAAAAAATTTAAGCGGTTTTTGAATATTTTTTAATAAACCCCTCATTCAATTTGTAAAAGGTGGAATTATTAGTTTCTATTTTTTCTTTATAAAATAAGGCTTGTTTACTTCACCTTAAAAAAATATTATAAAGTAAAATTAATTTCAATTCAGTAAAAATAATTTCAGTTCAGTAAAATTAATTTCAGTACAGCAAAAATAATTTCAGTTCAGCAAAAATAAGGTGAAGTGAACGGGGCCTAAATTTCCTTAATTTTCGTTAGTCAGTTTTTACTTTTAGATATAAACTTCAACTAGTAGTCAGCCCGTGCAATACACGATTTAAACTTTTTGCTTTTTTTTTTTTTTTTTTTTTTTTGAAGGATTGTTTATATTGGAATTACTCTTTGATAATATTTAAGCCAAAATATGTTTGTAAATACAAATTGTTGTGTAGTAGTAGAATGAAAGTAATCATAATACGGGATTCAATCTAATCTTTTACAAAAATACTAAATATATGGTAGCAAAAATACATTGTATATAAATAACATTTTCAATAGGAGATCCAATATTTTTCAATGTAAAACAAATTGATGCAATCTTAGAGCTATGCGTGGGTTAAACTTTGGTTAATATTTTCTTTGACAGATTGTTTATTTGCATATTGGGATTATTGCCCTTTGATTGTAATTAGCCAAAATATGTGAAAATACAAATTGAATTGTAGTAGTAGAATGAAAGTAAGCATAATACGGGCAATCAATCTAAACCTTTAAAAGAAATTCTAATGGTATTATATATTCATCATACATAAATAATATTTTTCAATAGGAGATTCAATATTTTGACAATGTAGAACGAATCACTACAATCTTAGAGCTAAACATCACCAATTGTGATACTTATTCACCTGTATGATTTTATTTTATTTTAAAAAAAAAAAAAAAAAAAAAAAAAAAAAACTCAAAAAATTCCTGACCTTAATCATTCAATTGCTTTGTGAGCATCACGTTATAAATAATCATGAAATCTTATAGAAAAGGCTCATCAAATGAATTGAAAATTAATGATAATGTTAAGCCTACAATAATTTATTTTGCCCTCAATTCACAAGATTGACATTGACATTCTCATCATATTTCTTGTACTGTTCTAGCTTAGTTAACCTATTATCCTTCCCAAAAAAATAAAAAATAAAAAAAAAAAACGGCATGCTAGATTTCTTGTAAATTTTCTTGTTATTAAATATTAGTATAGATATTTTTGACCAACTCTCAATCATCTCATTCATTCATATCTATATTTAAACTCAAAATGGCACCTTCACAAAATTCCGGTGGTTCATAATCTAGTTATGGGTGGATTCATGGTTAGATGTGGATGACTGGATGTGGTGTTCCTTCTAAGATTCGAACCGTGAACAAGCCTAACCACAATCATGGTGGAAATTTCGTGATTGTGGAAAATTTTGGTAAATTTTTTATCCGTTCATCATTTTTTTAATGGAATAGGGAGTGGGTGTTTCATTAATTAATAAAATCCACTCGGTAATTATCCATTATAAGGTCTAAATTCCTAAGTATCTAATCAATAAATAAATTTTAATTAGTTAATTATTGTAGGTTTAACTAAAATGGATTCATGGTTCTAGGGTTTGTAATTACCGGGATTATTTTAATTCCTAAATTGCAGGAGGTTGATTGTAGATTTTTCAATTGGTTGTATGATGATGTTGGTGGATGCGTCGAGTGCGAGATTGTAATACCCTGAAAGTTTTCTCCTTTTAAAATACCCTTTTTTACCCTTATTAAAACACAATTTAAGAAATAACCAAAATATTATCGTCACCGTGATAACGGCTAAGACTTTTCAAAGTCACACAATGAAAGTCTTAAAACCAAATAAACATTTAATATAAATAACTTGAGTTTACAACCTCAAAACCAAAGTAAATTAAAACCACTCACAAGTTGGAACCAATATGGCCCATAAAAACCAACACTCAAAACGTAAATAATCAAACAACGTTAGTCTAATAATAAATCAATAATAAACTATAAGCATAAATAAATCTATGAAAGCATAACAAGTAACTCTCAACACTCGTCCCATCATGCTTTTCATGCTCCAACTACTTGTCGCTTTCACTTTATTTCAACCTCACTGCTTGCCATTAAAATGGGTCAATGTAGGGCCAATCCAAAGAAAAGCTAAACACAAACAACAAAGTACGAATCAGCAAAAACTGAGTACA